CCACTCATTCAAATGAGCTCTTTGATTGTGGGTGGATTTCATTATTTCTTTGAACATGTCGTCTCGCGTCATCTTTCTACGACGCCTTATCTGAGATCGCCTTCTGGACGCAGGAGGGAGGCTTGAAACATTTGCAGCTGCTAGAGGGAGGGTTGAAAAAAAGTAGAGAAGTTTTTAAAATGATACATTTTACAGAACAATGCTTGTACTCTTTCATGGTGAACACTATTCACATTACATAGCACATGTGATTTCAGTACAAGGTCGCATTTTCCATCTTAATATTGAGTGCCTGTGGCTTTGGTGTTAGAGATCACAGACGCAGGTCCGGGCAACAGAATTCAGCTTGCAGGCAGCCATGGTAAGCCATTGTCTTTCGGCTTCTGCGCCCTCCTTTCCAACATACCAATCAAAGCCTGTTGACTGCTGAGGTTTTCCTGTTAACCTTCAGCAGCAGAAAACAAACTAACCCATCCGCCCCCACCTCCCGCCATGAATTCCCTGGAATGCTCAATGTACCCCTCCCCGACCGCGTGGCTGGTAACAGGGAAAATCCCTGCTGAAACTAAACTAACTCATCCACCCCCCCCTCCCGCCATGAATTCCCTGGAATGATCGCTTTACCCTTCCCCCCACAGCTGGTATCAGGGAAGATCCCTGCTAGCCAAACGTGAAAAGCTCTGGGCCAATTTCCCCCCCCCCCCCGCCCCTGCGCTTGGCTAACTGCAGGGAAGGATTTCTTATCAGCCACAGGCAAACAGCCCAGTAGGAACGGCCACCTCTGTCCCCTTAATTAAGTTCCCGTATTTCAAGCAGGTTACCATGAGCGATATCACTCTCCTGAGGATTACACAGCGAGATAAAGAACGGATGTTGCTTGAATGCCAGCAAACACCGGGACCATACGCTGCCAGGCTTTGTCAGGCAATGATACCAGATTACTTGCTGCAAGCATGGCGTGGACAAGTGTCCTACCATGGAGGACGGAATAAAGCGGCACTGCCCAGAAACCTTGTGGCAAGGCTTTTGGAGTACCTCCAGGAGAGCTTCATGGAGATGTCCCTGGAGGATTTCCGCTCCATCCCCAGACACGTTAACAGACTTTTCCAGTAGCTGTACTGGCTGCGAATGCATCCCAAGTCCTCAGGGCAAAATAATCATTAAAAAACCTTGCTTTTAAACCATGTTTTATATTTTAAAAGGTAAACTCACCTGAGGTCCCTTCCATGGGGTCATGGTCTTGGCTACTGGCTTGGGAGGCTTGGGAGGGTACTTCAGTCAGGCTGAGAAAAAGCTCCTGGCTGTTGGGGAGAACGGAGTGCTGGGTGCTCTCTGCAAGATCCTGATCCTCCTCCTCCTCCTCCTCCTCTTTCCCATCCGCAGAATCCTCAGGTGTAGAGACTATCCCAGACCCGGTTTGCACGATCACAGGTGGGGTAGTGGTGGCGGCCCCCCCTAGAATTGCATTCAGCTCTGCGTAGAAGCGGCATGTCCGCGGCTCTGACCCGGAGCGACCGTTTGCCTCCTTTGTTTTTTGATAGGCTTGTCTGAGCTCCTTCACTTTCACGCGGCACTGATCTGAGTCCCTATTGTGGCCTCTCTCCATCATGCCCTTGGAGATTTTTTCAAAAGTTTTGGCATTTCGTCTCTTTGAACGAAGTTCTGCTAGCACTGAATCCTCACCCCATACAGCGATCAGATCCAGTACCTCCCGTGTGGTCCATGCTGGTGCTCTTTTTCGATTATCAGCCTGCATGGTTACCTGTGCTGATGAGCTGAGGTATCTGTGGTATCTGTGGTCACCTGTGCTCTCCACGCTGAGCAAACAGGAAATGCAATTAAAATTTTCCTGGGTCTTTTCCTGTCTACCTGGCCAGTGCATGCGAGTTCAGATTGCTGTCCAGAGCGGTCAGTGGTGCACTGTGGGATAGCTCCCGGAGGCCAATACCATCGATTTGTGGCCACACTAACCCTAATTCGGATTAACAAAATCGATTTTGACGTTACTCCGTTCGTCGAGGTGGAGTACAGAAATCGATTTAAAGGGCCCTTTAATTCGAATTAACTGGCTCTGTAGTGTGGACGGGTGAAGGGTTAATTCGGATTAACGCAGCTAAATCCGAATTAAAGTCGTAGTGTAGACCAGGCCTCAGATAAGGCGTTTCTTAGATGGAACTTGACAGTGACTCTTCTATAGCCGCCACATATCGAATGCTGCTAATGTACAATCCATTTCACATCCATAAAGGAAAAATCTCTGCTTTCCTTCCCCTTAGCCCTGACTAAAGAGCTCTTCATTGGCTCTTGCCAGATGCCAGGCTGCTAATGATAAATTGGCTCTCAGCAAGGATTCCTTATCTGTTTAGCCCAGTTCTGAGGTGTGTTAGTTTCTTTATTGAATTCTGGACTGAACGTGGAAGCGCAGGTTAATTTGCTATCAGTGGGATGTCCTTTGAAGAACAGTTTTCTTTGCCTCTTGCCCTTTCCCTGACACTCAGTCTGCCCGCTCCATTTTTCATGTCTCTTCTCTTCATGGGAATTGATTATAGATAAACGCTCATCAAAAAACAGGGCATTTTGGCAAACGCAATTATTTACCCATTGACGTTTTAATTTGTCACGCTGTGGATGCCTTCAGGATCCAGGGAAGAAGCTCCAAATGGTGTGAAGCTTGTTAACTGGCTCTCAGTGGCGAGGATTTGGAAGCCTGCAGTGCATTGAACTCTCACCATGCGTTTTGCTTTTATCAGATAAATAGCAAAATATCCCCTGATTTCACTATTTCTTGTTTCCCGCTTTATATGAGAAGTAGAAAAACAACAAAAGAACATTCAGGGAGGCAAGATGGCTGATGATGTGCTAGGCAATAGGATAGTACAAATAATAAACAATAAGGCCCTCACTGCTGTAGTATCTGACTGCCTCAGAACAACCTTGTGAGGTAGAGAAATACTTTCCCTATTTGACAGATGGGGAACTGAGGCACAGGGCAGATTAAGTGACTTGTCCAAGGTCACACAGAAAAATCTGTGGGTGAGCTGATAGTCGAACCCTTATCTCCTCAAGCCCAGATTGGTGCTCTGCCCACTAGACCATCCTTCCTACCTAAATGAGATTCAAAGCCTTTCCCCTAAGGACTGTTAGCTTAAGTTTGGACCGGGACCCAAAAAAAGACCTCTAAGGGAGCAACATTTGGTGAGGCTCCCTGCCACCACACTACCACCCTGGAATAAGCTGCAGGGCCCTCTCCCAAACCTGGGGGATCCCCAGCGATTGGCAGAAGCTCTGGTCAGCTACACGGAAGTCCCGTGCCTCTGTGCTGACTCTCATTAGCAATTATGGGTGCTTGCTTTGGTCTGGTCTCCACAGAAAAGACTCTTCTCTCTAGTCTCTTCATACAGAACTTTTACTCCTGCAGTTGTTCCATCCTGCCAGCTTCCTGTGTGGAATAATAGAGCATCTTCAGTGCTCATGGCGGTTCTTTCCATGTCTATTGGCAAGCACTCAGCCACAAACTGAACAACATTGTTTATGATGGCTGAGCAGAGCTGACAACTACCAATGGCCTCTCCAGCTTCTCCTGTAATAGCATGTGTGCAAATATGTGGTATTCTTTCCCCACCTGCTCCAGCCTATTCTAAAAAATCACCTTTCCAAAATGCAAAAGGCCTGGGGGAAATGGCATAAGAGCTTTTAATATTTGCCTTATGCATTCTTTGTGTCAGCATAAGGGAAGCATCTTTGCACGATGGGCATTTTCTATATCAAATGTCACTTATTTTTCATCAACATATGCTTATTTTCAGAGGCTCTCCAAAACTCCTCCTGATTCAGCCAGCTCTCTGGATTTTGGTCCTTCACTGTGGGGACACTTGAATGAAAGGTTCATGGCACTCATGCATTTTGGGGTGAAATTCATCCCTATGGTGGGGCCTAGAACAAAGCCTATGCACCTCTTAAGTCCCCTTTAAGTCCTGTTTTGAGATCAGAAGTGATGCATAGTAGTCATACAGGCTTTCTGAACAAGGGTCAGTTTTACCCTCTCCTTGTTGTTGTCCATTTAACGGTGAACATCTCTGTATTTGGACGAGGCAGTGTGGGCATATGAGGAGGGGTTCTTATTCTAAGTTTGCTTTTGTGTATTGTTTTCTTATTACCATACCAAGGAATCCCAGTCATAGCGCAGGACCCCATTGTGCTCGGCGCTGTACCAGACACAGAACAAAAAGTCGGTGCCTCCCCATACCTTGGCTCTCCCTCCTCCTCTGCCTCCCCTGCGGAAATTTCTCTCCAGTCTTCTTGCTAAAGATTTCCCAAGCTTTCATAGTTGTCCAAATCCCAGCAACTGAGTGATGACCTTGTAACCATCCCCATGGAGCTCAGCACGGGGCCAAGGGGTCTGACCGCGTGAAACTGGTTGCAGGATCAGGATCATGGTACAATTCAGATGTGGAATGGTTTGATCAGATGAAGCTCAGACTCCAGGAAGCACAGATCTCATTGCAAATGCTTTATTCCTTAGAATGGGCGGGGGGATCCCAAGGAATCCTGGTGATGTTGGAAGAGGCAGAGAGCCAGGGGAAAGCTGGCAGGTCTGTGTGGGTCTGGGGGAGGGCACTGAGGGGATCCTCTCCCCAATCTCCTCGCCTGTGGGTGGCAGGATGGAGGTAAACACGCACCCCAACCTCCTCAGACTTTCTCCGTCCCCCTCCATTCTTAGGTTCCTTCCCAAAGTTTAACTTCTCTCCCCTCCCCCCTTTCTTTCCTCCTCCCTCCTCATCTCTTCTCTCTTCCTTCCTTCTACCCTCCCTCCTCTGAGTCCCCGCCCCTTCAGGGGGAGGCAGCCAGTCAAGGCGAGGCTGTGACATCAGTGCCGTGAAACTGACCCGGGGGAGGGACCGAGGTTGATACATTGTAGCGATTCCTTTTCCTGTCTTCGCGTTCCAAAGAGCGAACGAGCCAGGCGCGGGGACGAGCCTGGGGAGGGGGTGGGGGGTTGAGCGGGGGGCAGCAGCGTCTCCCCTTCGGAGACCCGCGGGGTGAGCAGCAGCCCTGAGGGCTCCGAGCCTTCCCCAGGAGAAGGGGCGATTGTTTCCCCTCTCCCCCCCCTTTCCAAGCTGTGGGGGATTTAGTTCCCCTCCGCCTGTTGAGATCAAACTTCCCACTGTGGGGGGAGGAGGGGACTCGGAGCAAAGGGAAGGAGCCGCTGTGGCTGCCCCGGCTTTGCTACAATGCTGTCCAACTCTCCGAACCCGAATCCCCAGGTGCTGTTCCCCACCCCCCCTCCTCCGCCCCCGCCGCCCCCCCATCAGCAGCCGCCGCCCCAGCAGCACCCTCCCGTCCAGCAACAGTTCCCCCAGTTCAACGTGAAATCAGGCCTCCAGATCAAGAAAAATGCCATCACGGATGATTACAAGGTCACCACGCAAGTGCTGGGGCTGGGCATCAACGGGAAAGTTTTGGAAATCTTTAACAAGAAGACTGGAGAGAAATTTGCTCTGAAGGTAAGTGTGCAGGGGGAAGGGAGAGGGGTGTGCGAGGGGCTGATGTGCCCACGCCCATCTTTCCTCTTCTGATCCCACATTCCTTATTTCCTCCCCCAAGTTTGGCTCAGACTGTTTTTGTAGGAGTGACACAGAAGTTATTGTGCTGTTAGAGTAGAGGGGAAGGTACCTGCAGTTATTGGGGGGTGGGGATTGATCCATGGTTGCTCTGTGTAAAATTACCGGCAGAATTATTTACAGGTACCTAAAACTAGCGGACAGAAAAAAATGGTGCTTTAACTTTGGCCTAGGCAGATATCGCTGAGTCCAGTTGTGAATCTCTTCCCCCTGCCGCGGTGTGGGCACAAATTCCCCACTTACTCACTGCGAAGGGCTAGTTGGGGAAGTTCGGCCTCTGCTATTTTTTTCCGGAGGGTGGGTGGGTGCGGTGGGTGGAGGGGGTTGTTGGATGATCTAATCTCTCTGCCTTTTAAAAAATGAAACTCAGCATTTAATTCCCCTCCCTCCCCTTTGCAAAACAGGACTTCCCAGCGGGAGAGGAGAAACCCCCCCAGAGCCTCCTAGGCCTGTTCACATTGACTGCGTTTGATAGGGCCCTTTCTCTTTCCCCCCTCAAATCTCTCTCTCTCTGTGTATGTTAGTCGTGGTTTCCTTGGATCTACTGATCAAAGCAGTTTGTGTTTGCAGAGGGAGGAGAGAGAGTATGCTCTGATTTCTTTCCAGAGCCATTATTTTGGTAAAAGGGTGGTGGGAAGGGGAGAAGAAAGAGAAAGGAGCTCCGGTAACTTCACAGCTGCCCTTAAGGCCTGTGGGCACTTCAGTGATCACTGCAGGGAAGATTATATCTTGTTAGAGAAATAAATTCTATTGTGGTTTTGAGAACACAAATGCCACCCTCTTTTGTGGTAGTGTCTTTGATTGCACTAGTTTAGGTTCCTTTCCCCTTTTCTGCCTCCTCGCCCCCCAGAATCTTTACTCCAAATCTGGAATTATTCGTGATTTTTCCCTTTAGAGGTCTGACTTGACTGATATGGTTTAGAAAGAGAGAACTTGAAATTTACCAGCAACAGTTAGCGCTTGACAACGAATGTAAATACAACAAGCAGAATCTGTTTTAAAGACAAGTGGTCCCTTGGACCGGGGCAGAACCAGTAATTCAGTGCTTTAAAGGGATGCTGTAGAGAGATGATCATATTATGGAGTGTAATAATAAAAATAAATAATTTAAAAAAAATCAAATGAACTTTTTAACAAATATGCGTTTTATTTGTTTTTATTGCACTCAGCTGGGACAATGAAACAGGATAGTCAGTTTCACTTTCTGGCTTTACTGCACTCCATTGTTACTGCTCCTCCATCACTTTAGAGGAATGTCCAGTTTCCCCTTAAACCATTCTCATTAAGAAAGACAAAATTAGATTGTGTGACATTTTAATTTAAAACAAAGCAAAATGACATGGGAAAGGGATGCCTTAGTGACCTAAGCATCGCGTTTGAAATCCATTGAAACCTCCGGACTTGTCTATTTGATCCAGTGAGTTTACTCTCTGTGCTTTCTGGATAAGCCCTTTAAAATTCAAGGTCCTCTGTGTGGGCACTAAAGATCTCATTGCACTTTGTGTAAGCATAGACGTTTGTCTGGTTTTCCCTGTTTAATTACCCTCCCTGCTCCCCAGTTGTGCAGTGTACTGTACACCAAGCTGCTACTGTTCTCCGCCCCAGATGTGGCTATGTTTGTGGTGCTGTATCTGTATGCAGTAATCCATAACATGCCTTTGTTTGAAAGGTTTTCCAATAAATAAGATATTATACTAAAATATACATTTTGCATCTAAATAACTTGACAGTTTCCCTGTTTTCAAATGATTTTTTTTTTTGGAGTGGGGGAGGGTATTTCTCTGTTAGAGGGATCCTGTGATATAGGTAATGCTAAGTACTAGGAAAGATGGGTACAATTTTTCTCCTCCAGTGAAGCTGCACATTCCATATCTTAGGCACAATTTGCTCCCACACATTAGCTGTTCAGAAACACTATATGTTATCCTGTTAATTGTGAAGATTAACGCCCCCCAAAACCTGCAATTTTGACTGCGTTTTTTTGGGGTTTTTTTAAGCCAACTCATCTGCTTAAAGCCAACAAGTCACTAATCCTAAAATAATAAAGAAGTAGATTTTTGACAAAAAATTCTTGTCAGCTATGAACCCCCTTCAGAAGTGAGGTGCCTGCAGGGGGATAAGTTATTAAGACAAATACATTTTCTTGGGGAAAAAAAGTTCTTCAAGTTAATCAACTGAATGGCAGATATTTCCCTTTTTTGTCTGGAAATATGGAAGTTTCTCATTAGTTGCAGTGTTATGTTTGAGGAAGACACAGACATGGTAATTTTTCCTGTATGTTATAAATGAGTGGGATCAGCCTCTGTTTTGACAGACACGCTTTTTTCCTCCATTACATTTAAAGTTGACTCAATGACTTAAATAGCAGTTGCTAATTCTTTCCTGTGTGAAATAACAAAAGAAGAAGAACTAGAGGGTACGGCATATGGAAAGGGACAGCTTGTGTCAGCAGTCTCCCCATATCAAAATATTGGCTAAGATAATAGCATAGCCTCTGAGCTCTGATTATCTTGTCAGTACTGGAGTGTGATACAATAGACATGTTCAGGATCTAGGTTTGATATATTATTTACATGGATGTACTTAAAGTGCCTTTTACAACACAGGATTTTTATACACCTCTACCCTGATATAACGTGACCCGATATAACACGAATTCGGATATAACGCGGTAAAGCAGTGCTCCAGGGGGGCGGGGCTGCGTGTTCCGGCGGATCAAAGCTAGTTCGATATAACGCGGTTTCACCTATAACGCGGTAAGATTTTTTTGGCTCCCGAGGACAGCGTTATATGGGGGTAGAGGTGTATATTAAGAATGGAACATAAATCACGGACTCTCACGTTTTGCTCAGATCTTGTCCCCTGCTCAGTTTCACTAGTTCTTTACCATATAATGAGGGACATATTAAGATGGACAGTTGCGAATGTGTGTGGTCAAATCTCCCTGCTTATGAGCTATGTAACAATGCAGGAGGGAAGTGCAGAATCAATTCACAGAGGCTGATGTATTCAATTCATCTCTGAATTTTTCCTTTGGGAAGTTTTAAAATTTTTATTTTCCATTGCCCATGTTCTTATGGCGAGGAAAAAGTTTAGCTGAGCCATTGAACGTGTCAGTTCAAAGGGCAGCACAGCTGCTGCTGTAAACAACTCCTTACAGCCCAGTAGAAAGTGCTGTGCTGCTGGCTCAGGGTCTTAGCAGACCAAACTACACTCTGTCGATCTCGCACTGACAAGTGTATGTGACATGCTCTTTGTTTGTCCAATGAGTTTTGGATACTCCCTGTCAAGATATAGGCCTGAAAGGTAAACCTCATTAATAGGATGTTTTGCTCAAATGTAGTGTGTATAGATCTAAATGCTGCTTTCTGTTAGTTGGGGGTGGATCTGTTTATAAACCTGTAGAGTGTTGTTCAGAACTTCTGAATGACTCAGAATTATCCGACATACAAACACCATTTGTTGGGGAGGAGTCAACACAGCTTTTGTAAAGGGAAATCATGCCTCACCAATCTATTAGAATTCTTTGAGGGGGATCAACAAGCATCTGTACAGTGGTGATCCAGCTGATATAGTGTACTTGGACTTTCAGAAAGCCTTTGACAAGGTCCCACCCTAAAGGTTCTTAAGCCAAGTAAGCTGTCATAGGATAAGAGGGAAGGTCTTCTTATGGGTCAGTAGCTGGTTAAAAGATAGAAAACAAAGGTTAGGAATAAATGGTCAGTTTTCACAGTGGGTAGTTAAGTATCGGGGTCTCCCAAGGATCTGTACTGGGACCTGTGCAGTTCAACGTGTTTGTAAATGATTGGGAAAAGGGAGTAAACAGTGAGGTGGCGAAGTCTGCAGACAATACAAAATTGCTCAAGACGGTTAAGTCTAAAGTTGTCTGGGAAGAGTTACAAAGGGATCTCACAAAACGGAGTGACTGGGCAACAAAATGGTAGATGAAATTCAGTGTTAATAAGTGCAAAGTAATGCACATTGGAAGACGTAATCCCAGCTATACATACAAAATGATGGGGTCTAAATTAGCTGTTACCACTCAAGAAAGAGATCTTGGAGTCATTGTGGATAGTTCTCTGAAAACATCTGCTCATTGTGCAGTGTCCATCAAAAAAGCCAACAGTCTGTTAAGAACCATGAGGAAAGGAATAGAGAATAAGAAAGGAAATATCAGAATGCCACTATATAAATCCATGGTATGCCCGCACCTTGAATACTGTGTGTAGTTCTAGTCACCACATCTCAAAAACGATATATTAAAATTGGAAAAAGTACAAAGAAGGACAACAGAAATGATTAGGGATATGGAAGAGCTTCCATATGAGGTGAGATTAAAAAGACTGGAACTATTCATCTTAGAAAAGAGAAGACTAAGGGAGGAAATGATAGAGGTGTGTGTACAAAATCACAAATGGTGTGGCGAAAGTGAATTGTTATTTACCCCTTCACATAACACAAGAACCAGGTATCACCCAATGAAATTAATAGGCAGCAGGTTTAAAACAAACATAACAAAGTACTTGTTCACATAACACACAGTCAACTTGTGGAACTTGTTGCCAGAGGATAATGTGAATGCCAAAAGTGTAATTGGGTTAAAAAACTATGTCATTAAGTTAATGGAGGATAGGTCCATCAGGGGCTATTAGACAGGATAGTCAGGGATGCAACCCTATGCTCTGGATGTCCCTAGACCTCTGACTGTCAGAAGCTGGGAGTGGATGACCAGGGATAGATCACTCAATAATTGCTCTGTTCTGTTCAATCCCTCTGAAGCATCTGGTGCTGGCCACTGTTGAAAACAGGATACTGGGCTAGATGGACTAGTGGTCTGATCTTACGTTCTTATGACTCATTATCTGCATCAGAGTAAGAGGAAT